TGTCCAGGATTTCATGGTACGATGACCCAAAAAGTATGGTGTGATTTAGACAAAAAGTGTGATTTGGTGTGATTTTAATTCTGGCCAGATTTAGTGTAATTTTGGCCGGAGTTAATAATATTATAATAGCGCAAATTTTATTATTTTATTTATTTTATTTATTAACATATACAGTAAATTTAATTATTCGCTATCTAATAAATCATAATTAACATTACCACCTAAATTAAAATAAAGAAAATTGAGCATCTGAATACTTTCTTCTTTAAGTGCAATCCTTTTATCTGATAAAATGCTTTTATAGCTAGAAAAACTACGTTCAACATCTACCCCAGACACTGGTAACCAAATATATACTAAAGCTAAAGCACTAAGTTCTGGTAATAAATGTGTTTTACCTCGCCAATATACATCTAAATCTATTAATTCCTCAACTGATTCATTAAGCCCACAATAAATAGCCCATTCTTGGATTAAATTATCAGTAGGAGAATGAAGCACTTCAATAATTCCATAATCTGTCATATTATGATGTGCTATATTAGATTGAATAAATCTTGGATCAAAGCATTGTATTGCTCTAAATAATGATAAAGCTGGATGATGAGATAAGTGTTTTTCGCATTTTTCATATGCCAAAGAAAAAGCCTGAGAAAATATCATGGCAAATGATTCCTCATCACAATTTGCTTCAGCTAATATTTGATCTAATTCATTTGAAATTGGAGGAGTGCTTCTTCCTGATGAAAGAAAAGCTTGAAGGCTAACTATTCTTGAATAAACAAATGGAGCTATTGCTTTGTTTCGTATTTTAAAGAATTCCAAATCATTAACCAATCTAATTAAATTCAATAAATGATTAGTAACATTATCAATTGTATAATTACTTTGATAATTTTCTCTTACCTGCCACAATTATATGTAATAAAACAAATAAAAATTCTAACATATAAAATATGATTTTGGTGTTGACAAAAAGTATTAAGGTATTGAATAGCTTTTGAATCATGATTAATAGAATATTCTGCATTAATAAATGTAATAACATGAGGATATAAAGGTTTAATCCAATGTAAAAATGAGAACCATGAATTCCATCGTGTCTTTACTGGTAATAGTGCTAAAGTAGGAGATTCAATATTATTTTGTGATAAATGTTCCTTCCAACGAATTTTTCTTTGTGAATTATAAACAAATATTGTTTTAAAATTCGCAACCAATCTATCAACTAATTCAAATTTTTTAAAATCAACCCATGTTTCCCCAATCAAATTAAGAATATGTGCTAAGCAGCAATTATGTTTCATTCTTGGTAAAAAAGGAGATAAATGTGAATATGCCAATTTCATATAAGAAGCATTATCAGATATAAAAAAAATAATATTTTTGTAAGGAATTTTGTAAAAATGAAGTGTATCCATGACAAATTGGGAAATAGATGAAGCATTTACAATAGATAAAAATTCAGTCCTAGCCAATTTAGTTTGATTATCAAAACTAAATAAAAGATTAACAGCATGACGACCACAACGATCTGTTGTTTCATCAATTGTTATACAAATAATCTTATCAATAATACTATTCTTTAAGTTCTGAAGTTCTATTTCATATAATAATGGAAGATATTTCTCACGAAGCTGATTTGCTCCAGTAATTAACCCTCCTAAAAATATAATTAATTCATTAATTAATTATTGAATTAAAATATTACATAAATTAAAAAATTACATACCATTTTTACAATATTTAATCAAAAATGGTTTGAGTTTTTCAATCTTTTCTAATGGAATATCTGCAAAAGTGAATGCTTCAACAACTTCAATATTAATTTTTTCTCTTTCATTCAAAGTATTTCCAGTTAATGAAGGTATGGTTCTTTGAATTAAATAATTAGAATTATTTGCATTTTTTTTATTATTTTCATGTTTTAAAGTTTGAAGATGTTTATTGATAATGGATTTTATTTCATAGTCAACTTTTATATTACAAAATCGACACCACAATACACTGCCTTGAAGAATATAATTTTCTCGATATATGGAACTTTGAGATAAACGTACATGAGCGCTAACCATCTTTGTAAAAAGTTGATTATATTGTACGAAAAAAAAATAGATCGATTTATAAGATCTACAGCCAATCAAATCTAATTTACTGCGGAAAGTGTGAAAAATGTGAAATTTTGCCAAAAAATGCGGTCACACCAAAAATGTGAAAAAATGGCAAAAAATGCGAAAAAAGTGTGATCGCTCCATCCTGGACACCCTAGCACGAGTAATTTATGTAATATTGTAATTATTTAAGCCACATCATCCGAATCTTTCCTTTTTTTATATAGTTAATATATAAAAATTTATATTATATCGTAAACAACTTATATATTTGGAAATAATTTATATTTTGATTAATTGTTTTTATACCAGTTTTTTTACATGAATTTATTCGATTTATTTATTTATGTAAATGTAAAAATTATGAAATTATGAAATTTGATTGAGTAAATGAGTAAAAAAAAAGAAATAGGAAACAAATAAAGATCAGTTTTTTTTCTTTGATTTAAATTATTTTTTTTATGAATAAATAAATTTTATACTGTAAAATATATTGATTGATTGAGTAATGTGTAAAATTTTTATGAAGAAAAAATAATTTTTACAAAATATATTTTTCGTAATAATTTTCGTAATAAGTTAATTTTGAGTAACGCGTAAAATTTTTATGAAAAAAATAAATTTTATATTGCAGTAATATATGGGTTTATTTATTTTTACATAAATTGACAAATTTTATATTATATAATACAGTATATATTGAGTAATACGTAAAATTTTCTTTATTTTATTTTTTGTAAATATTGCATAATACATTGAGTAATTTTTTATATATGAAGACAATGAAGAAAATTTTTTTGATTTGTTGAATAAATTGATAAATTATATTGGTATAAAATTGAATAAATTGATAAATTTATATTGGGTATAAAATAAAATTTTTTTTTTTTTTTGTGTAAGTAAATATTGCGTAATACGCGTAGAGTAACCCGAAATTTATTTATTTTTTTTTTTAAAATGAAAAAAAATATATATAGCCCATCGGTTCATAAGGAGGGAGGGTGGGCGTTATACTCTTAGTAGGGTGTCCAGGATGGAGCGATCACACTTTTTTCGCATTTTTTGCCATTTTTTCACATTTTTGGTGTGACCGCATTTTTTGGCAAAATTTCACATTTTTCACACTTTCCGCAGTAAATTAGATTTGATTGGCTGTAGATCTTATAAATCGATCTATTTTTTTTTCGTACAATATAATCAACTTTTTACAAAGATGGTTAGCGCTCATGTACGTTTATCTCAAAGTTCCATATATCGAGAAAATTATATTCTTCAAGGCAGTGTATTGTGGTGTCGATTTTGTAATATAAAAGTTGACCATGAAATAAAATCCATTATCAATAAACATCTTCAAACTTTAAAACATGAAAATAATAAAAAAAAATGCAAATAATTCTAATTATTTAATTCAAAGAACCATACCTTCATTAACTGGAAATACTTTGAATGAAAGAGAAAAAATTAATATTGAAGTTGTTGAAGCATTCACTTTTGCAGATATTCCATTAGAAAAGATTGAAAAACTCAAACCATTTTTGATGAAATATTGTAAAAATGGTATGTAATTTTTTAATTTATGTAATATTTTAATTCAATAATTAATTAATGAATTAATTATATTTTTAGGAGGGTTAATTACTGGAGCAAATCAGCTTCGTGAGAAATATCTTCCAT